GTTCTTCATGTTATGTGAACTTTTCTGGTTCTTCATGTTATGTGAACTTTTCTGGTTCTTCATGTTATGTGAACTTTTCTGGTTCTTCATGTTATCCTCCCAAGTAAAACTGATCTATTTTCAAAGTTCGCTCAAAACCTATTATTATGGATAATGGCACGGGTTCTTAAGCTATTGCTTCTATTACGTTTAGAGAAAATAGACAGGGAAAATAATATTCAACGTAATTCAGATCCGTTAATAATTACCAACCTTCAAGTCAGTTTGTTCCTTTTATTGTCGTTAAAGGAGGTCATTATTTTGCATAGTCCCAGCAGGGAGTAAAAAAGCATACAGTCGTTTCTTGGACATTTTAGAATATTCATATTATGTAAGACAATGACATTCAGAGTCTCCATTCTTCAAGGTAAGCGTCTTCCGAACGTTACGCCAGGGTTAACACAAAGTTAAATCTATGGGACCTCATTGTGACTTCCACAACATTGAGTCTTTCCTGTTGAGTTTCTACCATTTCGAGCCTATTTCATAACATTTTGTTTTCTTTCATCTAATGTTGTTTACATTTCTTTCTAAGGCTGACGAGCGAACAGGAAAGAAGAGAGAAAAAGAGGTGGGAAAGCGTGTGTGGTGAGGGGGGTGGAGGGTGGAGGGTGGAGGGGATAAATTAAATTATTTTTAAAATGTTATTTAAGATGAAAAGAGTCCGAGGTGAGCACTGAAAAGTAGGGGGCTTGGTGGGAACTGACGACACACTAGCTGTAAACTAATTAAAGCAAAGGGATACACTCCCACACATACGATTTGTTGTTATAGAGAAGAGTGCAGACAGTGAAAGAACACGTGGTCACCTTCGAGTAATCATGTTCAGTACATGCAAACCTTAAAAAAAAACAGTTTGTACAAACATATATTCCCTGTCGTCAAACAAGATACAACCCGCCCCCCTCCGCCCTCACCCCGCGCGGCCATCACATCTTCCCACCTCCTTCATCTTAATAGAGGATGTGTTACGAATAAATCTAAAGTCTGCGGATGAGGGAAAAATATTCTTATTGTCTATCCGTAACCAACAACCCTTTCATAATCGTCCGTGACACCTCTTGTTTAAATTCGTATTTTAAAAAAAAAACCACACTAAACGTAAATCTTTACATTAGAAATACGATATATTTTACATCCGGGGTATTAAAGTACGTCATTGTATAAGAGTGTCCTGGGATGTCGCCTGTTCCGGTCGCCCTATTACTTCATGGAAATTCCCTCGTGACCAAACCACGCGATACGGCTACCATCTTATCATCGCTATCAAAACATTTGTAATAGAATCCTGTTGTAACAGCAAGCATTGTGATCATTTCGAGGCGAGACGGAACAAAAAAAAAAAAAGAAAAGAAAAGAGGAAAAAAAGATTGTCTGCCTGCGTCTTTCTTACTTTCAGTCCGGAAATCGAATTTCCGTTTGTGATGCAATCGTTTAAGACCAGACAAACGTTGTGGTAAATAATACTCTGTTGCGTCATGAAAGAAACAGTTGAGCGTAGGTGCTAGTAGCATTACGAGAAACGTCAGTGATGTAACTATCGGAGAAAGATTTCGGTCACCTTACGCTCGGGGAATTTACTTTATTTTAATCTGCGTATTATTAGACTTTAGCTTTTTCTTAGTGCAAACGGTTACATAAGTTAAAGAATTTCGTAAACTAAAGATTAATTGGAATTCAAAAGCTATTTTCACGACCTCGAAGATACATCCATTCATCTGTATTTCTAAGGATCGTTTTGCGTCATCAAATAGATAGAATGATAATTATTACTTTGCTTCTTGTCTTTGGCACAGCGATTACACTTTTCCGCTGCAAAACAGCAGTTTTGCTGGATTTTCGCTCAGATAGCCGCAAACATTATCCAAGAAAGACACTGTAAATATTTTGATTTAAACGTATAGACACACGCATTATTAGTTTTATGCTTTCGCAACAGTTTGATGTGTGCGCATACATAATTTGTTTAAAATAGTATTCCTTTTGATCCAAAAAAAAAATTAATTAAGTGGATTTTTATTCAGTTGCAGAAGCACATTATTTTTTTATTCTTTCAAAGCCGTTGGAATTGAAATAAATGGTCAAATCCCAGTATGTAAAGAGGGAAAATATTTAATCAATTTTATGCACTTTTCCGAAGTTTCCAGAAAGAGAAGGTCGACTTCTAATTAATTTCTGGTCATGACAAAAAAACCCCAAAAAAGACCAAAAAAACTGCAGACATATTTTGTTATAGCCCTCACCCTCTCACTAGTTAAGAAAGAAAAGTTAAACCCCAAAACAAACAAAATCCAAAACACACAAAATAAAAACTCAAAAATTTGCCACGGGCTTTTCAGCGTTCATAGCTCTAGGCACTCATGTAGAACCCACGTTTATCTTTCGTCCTCAGTACTTATTAACACTTTTAATTCCCACTACTCCAATTCTAAACTAATATCAGTAAAATATTTTAATCTTTAATTTTTTCCAAGATAAGCTCAGAGTCATCGAAGGGTTAGGTGGGGGGGGGTGGAGGGGGTTGGTGTGGGGGGGGGGAGGAGGGTTGGAGGGGGTTAAGGGGGGGAGGGGGATAGGCACAACATATTAAATTTAGGCATCACTATTATTATGTTCCTAATTCTGTGTTATATCGTTTCAGAGTTCCCTACACGCTTTCTTTAGGTAGAGTTCTACAAACAAAACAAACAAAGAAAGAAAGAAAGAAAGAAGGAAAGAAAGAAAAAAAGAAAGAAAAAGGTATCATTCTCCTTATTTAAATGTTGGCATTTTAAAAAATCGTGAATGTCTTAAATAATATTGTGGAGAATAGCGTTCTACCAAATTTAATAGGGAGGGAAATCTTAATTATTAGTTTTGTTTTCTGACACATTCTTCTCTGAGAATTCAACTCCAATGTTCATGTCTTTATAACCACAGCCTGTGTGAACATCCGTGTAATAACTATAAAATTACTTCTACTAATATTATTGATGCAAACTATGGAAATCTGATACAGAAATGTTCACTGACCGAAAGAAAAGCTAATTTTATATTATAGAAATATTGTCTCTTCCAGAGGAACAAAATTTGAATTTTAGGTAGGTATATATAATTAATTCAATTTCTATCATCAATTCTCACCGAATAACCTCAAATGTGTATACACAGCTTCTAGCATACATTGGTCACACATGAACCAGAAAAAACCCGATCATCCCAATCCTGCTTAAATAATTTTCTCCAGGCGAACGACAACAAGTTGTGTTTCTATGATAGAAAAGCATATAATGTTTCACATTCACGTTTAATTCAAGAGGCGGGATGTGGGTCAAAATGGGAGAAGAAAGAGAGAGATAAAGAGAGAGAGAGAGAGAGAGAGAGAGAGAGAGAGAGAGAGAGAGAGAGAGAGAGAGAGAGAGGGAGAGGAGAGAGAGAGAGAGAGAGAGAGAGAGAGAGAGAGAGAGAGAGAGAGAGAGAGAGAGAGAACCAACAGAGAGTTGGGGTGGAGGGAGGGTTTAACATGCACAGGAAAGAAGATAGTTTTAGCAAATTTTTTTCTTGAAAGGTTGAATAAGGATCTAGAATGTACTGCCAATGATAGTTTTGCAAGTAATGTTTATTTGCCCATCTATAGACGTCACGACATAATTATCATTATAAGACGTCGGAGGTCCCTATCGAATCAGTCCATACTAACCCTGGCTTAGTGATAGATAGATAGATAGATAGATAGATAGATAGATAGATAGATAGATAGATAGATAGACCCGACAAAGAGTGAGGTGGCTGGGAGGTTTGAGTGTTTCTGAGGAATGGTATTTTCACTCTAAGCTAGAAAATGCATGGCTACCACTTTTGACATGAAGGCATCTTTGACACAGTGGTTGCCCACCAGTTATCTGTTTGTCATGGAAGCAATTCCACATGAGC